GAATTCCTCAGGGAGGTGCCAGTCTCATCCTTTTGTATTTCCCACGCTCCTCAGGAGATGAAAGAAAATGTTTTTCTCCCTGAGCCATAATTCCATTCCACCACACCATTAAAACTCATGTTGGGGAAAGGTTGTTTTTTTTTTTTTAATATGATGACCAAAAAAGACAGTATTTTCTCCTACCCACAGATCATTTTGCCATAAAGATTCCCTGAATTGGATCAAATAAAATAAATTGTAATGTACAACTTATTTATTCTTAACTGAATTGAACTGAACTGAATTTAGGAGACTAATGCTGTGATTAATGAATGGAAACCAAGTTTTTCCAGGGCAACTTGTACACATTAATTTAACTTATGTGTTTGTTGCCCCAATTAGGCACATATTTATCTAACCTTATTTATGGTTATTTAAATGAAGAATTAAGAGATTCAGCTGAAGCTGGCCTTACCAGTGCTTTTGATTTCCTGCCTAGGAATGAACAAAGTAAATAATAAAATAGGCATTTATATCTATGTACTTGCCTGCCTGCCTGCAAACTAGTTGGGTTAAACTAGCTCATACTTTGTTCCTGTTACTTGTATTTTTATGAGTAGTGACTTCCCCACTTCCAGCAAAGCCTGGATTTTGGTCCCATGGTCAAATACTTTACTTTTTTTGTTGTTTGGATTTACAAAAGTGGGAAGAAGGATAAAAAAACAAAGAGGAATGAACAGATATTATATTAATATCTCATTTTTTAATTACAGCATGGCACCTTGATCACATAAAAGTAATATTGATCAGACTTTATATTAACTCATAATCAGAGAATAAATATCAGTTGAAAATTGTAAATCTAGGATAGCACAGCTTATTAGAAAAGAGCAATCCTATATGTAGTACCTCATGCTTGGTAAATTCCATTTACCATGGGTATCCATTAGCTGCCTGATAAGACAGGTCAATAATTTCTGGTTCAATCCTAGCTGAATCACGAATAGTTTGCATTGTTTTATGTTTCCTGAATTCGTCTATTCCATCTTTCAAACCATCTACTGTATTTTGGTATCTATCAGTATATTTTATGTAATATTTTAATTTTATTTTAATTATGGGAAAAACAAAGAAATCCTCCAATGAAAAATACGAGGAAAATTCAGAATATTGCTCTAATTTAAAGCAGAAATTGCTTAGAATCAATCCAGATTTCCCAAGGACTTATTCATTTATTTATACATTCAATTTATTCTCTGCCCATCTCCCCCCAATGGGGAACTCTGGGCAG